TGAATACTTCGAAGTATAAATAGAGGATTTGTTTCTTAGAAAAAAGTAAAAGTGTATGTTATGTTATAATTCATCACTAACCTCTCCAAATAGTTTTAAGCATATAGAAACAATAATTCGTTAAAGCGTAAAAGTGATTGTTTGTGTCGCAAGTTTAAAATTAGTAATAATAGTACTCTATGTCTCCATATAAATAGTATCTATCTCTAGCCTTACATTTCCTCGTTTCATTTTAGTTGATACCTACCTTTCATTTAATTGAGTTTGTCAATCCATAACTTCTTACAATATAACATCTTCAATTACAAAAAATTATGAACATTGATGGTTGGAAAATAAATGTCGGAATTAATCAAACAAGATCACTCAATTATGTTTTTTCTTAAGAATAAATCGCAAAAAGAAGCCAAACTAACTTTACATGTGAGTAGTGGTGAAAGTTAAAATGGGTAAACTAAAATGAGATGAAGTATAGCTGTATAGTAGTAAAAAAATAAATTGCTTATGAGCTGTCTTGATAAATAAAGGTCATAAAAACTAGTTAATGTGGTTGATAATTAAGTTAGTTGTTGATTGATAAGTGGTTACGATATATTGATGAAGCCCTTATTAGCCCCTTACTTAAGTTTGTTCAAGTTTTTAAACATTAATAAAATTTAAAATTTACGGTAAATAGTCTAATTTAAAGCTTTAATAGTTTTTATATATGTGCAGGATATCTATTTGGTAAGCAAGGATGATAAGAAGAGTTGGAATAATCTTCCAAAAGAAAAATACCCTAAACCATTGATATTTCATGATGGTAGACTAGCATTTATGCCCACACCATTAGACACCCTAACTATGTTTATGTGGCTGCCATTTGGGATTATCCTTAGTATCACAAGAGTACTTGTAGCAGTTTTGCTACCTCACGAAATGTGCTCACCCATCGCAGCCTTTCTTGGACTACGCTATCCTTATACTCCTTCAAAAGACAACCCTAAGTATACTAATAAACCCGAAAATTCAAAAGGAATGATCTATGTATGCAATCACAAAACTTTACTCGATGCTGTCTATGTCTCACATATATGTCGAATGAATCTCTTCACCCTTACCTATAGCATAAGCAAATTGTCCAAATTTCTATGTCCGATTGATACAATTGAGCTAACAAGGGATAGGGAGAAAGATGCCGCGATCATGTACAAGGTGTTGAGCCAAGGGAGGAACGTTATTTTGTGTCCCGAAGGGACTACGTGTAGGGAGCCTTATTTGCTAAGGTTTAGTCCCTTGTTTGCAGAGTTAAGTGACGATCTTAATCCTGTTGCCCTACAAGTAGACGTTAGCATGTTCTATGGGACAACCGCGAGTGGGATCAAGGCCTTTGATCCGTTCTTCTTTATGATGAACCCATGGCCTTCTTATCACGTTAAATTCCTGGAGAAATTACCTAAGGAATGGACTTGTGGGAGTGGTGGGAGAACCAGATTTGAAGTTGCTAATTATGTTCAAGATGTGATTGGTAAAGCATTAAGTTACACGTGTACTGGCTTAACAAGGAAAGATAAGTACTTGGTTTTGGCTGGTAACAATGGACTTTATCATTAAGTGGGGATAAAACTAGTGCAAGCCAAAAAAAGAAAAAAAAAACATCGATTGCAAAGCTGTGACAAGAATATAAGTGGTGCCAATTGGGCTCATTTTGTGATGGTGTATTTATTGTGTCATTAAAACCTAAAGCACCTACTTTTTAAAAGAAAAATTGTAAAAACCTTTTTTTTTTTCCTTAAATATAAACAATCAATCATCCAAATCATGTATCACGTATATTCATGAAAAAACACGTGTAATATGAATAGTTGTTCATGTAAGTACTTGTATATTTTTCATTTTTTTGGTGTAATAAATTTTTATTGAGTGCAATGTTCAAGTAAGAATGGTAGGAAGCAAACTCTTAATTATATATTTATATGAATGTACTACTATTAAAAAGCAAAGGTATACTCCTAAGTGCGCAAGGAAGGAGTAGTGATTGTTGTCTATATAATAATCTACTTATTTACTCTTATTTCTCTAGTGGTTCTTCCTAGTTTCTCCTTATTCTTTAACTGTAAATCTTATTAAAGTTAAACTTTTGTACTACTCATATAAATCATCCTTATAGAAATATTGATCATTAGATTTGTTTGAATATTAATTTCAAAATATCAACTTCTTAGAATTTGTATGTACTTGTGAATAATTCATGTTGGAGTTGGTAATGCAACCGGACTAGTATGCTCTCGTGCCCTATCGGGCAGATTTCGCCCAAACTGGGTGAACGAAGACTATACTTGGCTGTAAACTCATAAGTCGTCTCCCACTCATACTCGATCGGGCGGGGCTTGCCAGGCCGGGCGGACCATTAGCTTTCCAGAGGTGTTCTCGCGCCCGACTGGGCAACATGACAGCAGTTGTGGGCGTGTCCTCACGCCCGATCGGTTGGCTCTATTTTTGTGTTCTATTTTTGGGACATATAGGTGAGAGGTCGTTTTTGCTCTATAGACTCTTTTTCCATGATTGAAAAACCTAAACACATAAACAAAAACATACCTTTTGAGATCTGGACAGTTTTTGAGTAATTCCACTCTTCAGGTTTGGGTACACGAATTACAAGGAGAGTTGCGTAAAACTTGGGGGGCGTGCTTCACTAGGAGACTTGTACCAGTGATGGCGTATTTCGCTTCTAAGGCAGTGGATTCCCTTCCGCGGCGCGACTATGTTGTTGAGATCCACGTACAATCAAGCATGTTTTCCTTTCATCGTACTTTATTTATTGGAATCAACATGTATTTTACCTGCTATTCAAATATAATTGTTATGTCTAGACAAGAGTTAAAGTTAAAGTGTTGTAACTATAAAAACAAATAAACAATAACGTTAGTTTTGTTTTAACTGTTATAGTCTTATATGTCTAGACAAGTGTGAAAGTTAGAGGGTAGATAGCAACCGCAAAGAAGTGAATTGAAGAAGTGAGGCCATGCCACTTCTTTTGTACATAATTTTCAAATTTTTAGTAAAGTTCATAATTACTCATTCTTAAAGAACAAAGATGAAGACATCAATCATCATGAAATCAGCATAATTTATGGTACAAGGAAAATAACACCCTCAACTTATAAAGAAAAACTATCATAGTAACAATAAAACATCATGCTTTATTGAACTCTTTATGCCTTATCATTTGATCTCTTTCAAAATACTCCTTTCAACAGCTTGACTTTGTTATTGTAAATCACGATTTGACAATTAATATTATTTCTAATTATAGATATTTTAAAAACATGAACCAAGACTACATCAATATTTTACTGAATTACATTTATTTTTGTATATTGTGGTTACTCTGATAGTCTGATCCGCATGTACATGAGGTAACAATAATAAGATTATACTGTAGTAAAAATAAACGAAGTACTTCGTAAATATTAACATATTAAAACGAGTAATTGTCAAAAATAAACTAACCTTCGTTTCGTTAGCTCAAAAATCAAAACAAATAATCTTTTGATCAACAAATGATATGTCAACTTTTACAAAGTAATTTTTTTTGAAGAAAACTTCGTATAATTTTTAAGTAGGCTAAATCAAATTTTTTTTTTGAATCGCCAAACCACGCCCGGTATTTATCGGGTAACGCCCGTATTTTAACACGACTTTTCAAACATGCCCCCCTTATAAATTTACCCTATTTCATTTTCACCTCCTTTAAACTCTCTATCTTGTTACCCCACCAACCACCGAACATCCACCGCCACCATCCACCACTCCACGTCATAATTTTTTTTTTTAAGAAAATTGCTTTAGTCTTCAACGATTAGCACAAGAGGTGAACGGGCGAGTTTGAGGAAGCGACGACGCCACCGGAGAGGTTGCCGGAGCATCTCTAATTTTCATCTTTTTTTTTTTTTTTTTTAATCACAGGAGGAACGCCTAGAATTTTAGAATCTCCCCCGGCATATTCTAAAATTTCAGGCGTTTCAGGGGGAACACCAGAAATTTTAGATTGTCCCGGGGAAGATGGCATGAACGCCTGGAATATTAGAATCCACATCGGGACATTCTAAAATTTCAGGCATTTTCCCCTTGAAACGCCGAAATTTTAGAATGTACCAGGGGAGATTCTAAAATTTCAGGCGTTCCTTTCGAACAAAAGAAAATAAAAAAAAAAAAAAAAAACTAACATGCTCGTCGGTGTTAATTCCCCTGCCTTTGCGATTTTCCGACATCCTCCCTTCCCTTATAGTCTCAGCGCGATGTTGGTAGTTGAATTGTGGTGGTTGATTTTGTTGGTGGTTGAATTTGGTGTCTTGCTTGTTGGTGGTTGAATTGTGGCGGTGAGTGAAATTCAAGATGTAAGGGGGAAGAGATAGAAAAGTAATAGTGAAAATAATGGTTGAAAGGGTTATTTGAAGGAGGGGTAGATAAGTATGTTTATATTAAAATACGGGCGTTAGTCAGTAAATACCGGGCGTGGTTTAGTACCAAGTGAAAATGACAAGTTGAAGCTGTTTTGACTCCTTGGAGCAACTTGATGAATTTAGTAGATCCTTTTAGGAGGCCCAATGACCATAGATCGAACCTATCCAATTTTTACAGTGCGATGGCTGGCTGTTCACGGACTAGCTGTACCTACCGTTTCTTTTTTGGGGTCAATATCCGCAATGCAATTCATCCAACGATAAACAAAACCGAATCCGAATTATTTAGAGCTACGACACAATCAAACCCGAACGAACAAAATGTTGAATTGAATCGTACCAGTCTTTATTGGGGTCTATTACTCATTTTTGTACTTGCTGTTTTATTTTCTAATTATTTTTTCAATTAAATAAATAAATAAAGAGAAGGAAAGAAATAGATAGAATATAAAATTCGATTGAACCCAGGAAAAAAAAAGAAGTCAAAACGACGTCGTAATTAGAAGTTTCACACTCATCCAGTCATCGTCATCAACATGTGAGAAAAGGGCAAAACGCCAATTAAACTTCTTCAATTTCAAGTAAGCAAAATTGCGGTGACCTTTAAATTCTGGGCTTCAGCTTTAGTTGCGAAGAAGAAGCGAAATGATTTCAATATGGCGGCAAATCTCTAGAACTTTCACTTCTCCATCACCTGCCTCAATTCCAGCTTTCGTTCCTCCATCCTATAGATTCTTCTCCACTTCGTCTCCATATGTAGGTACGAAATTTAAAAAATTAATTTCTGTTTTTTTCTTCTCTTAATATGTTGTTTTTTGGTTAAATCTTGTGATGAATTTACAATTTGGATTAATTAGAGAAATACCCAGATTTTATATTTTGTTTTTATAGTTTTCTACGGGTTTTGGGGTTTAGGGTTTAGGGTTTAGGGTTTTTGAGTTAGATTTTAACATAGTTGATCTTCAATTTTTTGGGTTGAAAAATCTGTAATATTTTTTGTGTTGAAGTCTGAAAAGGGCACAATTTTCATCTTAGTTGTGTCTGCTTTAAATTGCCCTGATTATTTTATTTATTTTGCTAATATCAGAGAAGAACGAATTTATTCTCCTTTGTCTTTGTTGTGAGATTACATTTTCTCTTTCAGATTATAATTTGTGGACTTTGCTTCATTATTTATGGAAATGCAGTTGGATTTTGTGCAGAACCCATTAGAGATATTCCTTTATTAGTTTGGTTTAAACTTTTAATTGAGGGATTGATGTGTGGTTTGACATGGCAGTGAAGGTCGGAATACCGGAGTTTTTGAATGGGATAGGGAAAGGAGTAGAGGCTCATGTTGGGAAGCTTGAGTCTGAGTTTGGTGACCTTCAAAAGTTGCTTGTCGTTCGCACTCTTAAGCTCAAGAAGCTCGAAATTCCATGTAAACATGTAAGTATTTCTCTTGATACCTTTGTTGCTGAGAGATTGTGCAATTTAAATTACATTTGATACATTGTTTACGGATTTTGTGCTTTGGTAATGTATTTATCTCGCAGTTTCCTTGCTGGTTCATTGTCTTGATTTCTTCAATCATTGGTAGCAATGTTGTTTATAATTTCAGGTTTGCAGTACTGCTGTGTGCTATAATGGTTTTGATGGTAGATTTATTTAAGATTCTGTTAAAATTGGAACCAATTTTAAAAAGTTTATACTCTGGAGTTTGTTCTGGACTATGTTTTACAAGCACAAGTTAATTAGATGAGGATTATCTCTTAGAGGCTGAGTTTCCGTATGTAGCTCTAACTTGTAGCTATTTAGAGCTCCAGCATTGTACATGTACGTAGTAGAAAATTTTAGTTCCATATCTATGGTGCTTAAAGTGCAAAATTAAGTTAAAATTGCTTCAAGACTATTGTAGGGGGTAGAAAGTTGGATGCTTGGATCATAGTATACATGGACACATTCATTGATGTGCTGAATGTTGGTTTTCAAGTTTACTATTCGCTGTGACAGGCAGATCATGTGGAAAGCACTCTTCTAGGAAATTTGATTACTGTAGAAAATAGAAACAGAGAAGAAAAGGTCTTTCAAAAAAAAAAAAAAAAAAAACAAAAAACAGAGAAGAAAAGGGTGTGTGCTGTATACAAAAGCCAAAAGCATTGTTTGCGACATACCGTGTACATATCGAATTTTACACTTTGTTTGGATAGAAGGAAATGAAAGGAAGAGAAAGGGAGGGGGACAAACTCTCTTGTTTGGGTAAAGGATTGGGGAAAGGAAGGGAAAGGAGAGGGAGAGATCCATTTTCCCTCTTTCTTTAATAAGCATAATCACTCCAAAAGATTTGGAGGTAAATTGGAGCTCACCTTCCCCTCCTTTTTTACTCTCTTCCCTTCCTCTTCTACCCCTCTCCTTCCTTTCCTTCCTTGTTTCCTATCCAAACAAAGCGTTACTGAATAAATAAATTGTTTTAGCTACGTAAAGATTGGTTACCTTGCAACAAATCAGAAATCTAGACATTTTAATGACCCATTTTATGTACTTGTAACTGGATTTACAGTTTTTACACTAGGCTTATAGCTATGAATTGAACAGCACTTGAAAATTGAATATTGAAATTAAATTGCGGAAAGCAGGAAGGAGTTCTGAATGGGAAGCACTTCTGTTCTTTGAAATCTTAATTAACCTTTACATATGGTTCCAGTTGTTTTGGTCTTTATAAAGTTATTTCATACTCCATATCCCTACAGACACTGAAAATGTTGGCTGTTGTTTCCTTGTCAACACTTATATGAGTTTCTGAACTATAGTACTCAATGCTGATTTGGGGGCTGGGAGGTGCTGGAATGGGTATCTTAGGAGTGGCTGCTTCTTTTTTGGGGTGCCTTTTGTGGTTAATCAATGCATTAAATTGCAATGATATCTATGCAAGAATGGTTCTGTTCACGGGCCTGAAATTTTGTTAATATGGTTCTATTCAGCGTCAGGACGCTCTAATGGTTTTATTAGTTATAAGATTGATGATATTTCTATCAAGCTTGTTTGATGGATAAACCTTTTATGCATGAGTTTGGTTTATTATTCTAGTAATCCTTTTATTCTCTCTGCAGCACCAATTATTACGGCTAATACACTTGTAGCAATTAGTTCTTCCTATCCTCTCTCCAGAGTCTCCACCTTCAAGCTAATTCTGGTTGTTTTAGGAAATCTGAAAATGTCAGAACTGAAGTATTTTATAAATACACGACAATAGTTTCAGATTGAAGGAGTAACTTTATATTACGGTATTACCATGAATTTTCAACACAATAGATTGATTAAATTTTCATTTTGCTTATCAGAGGAAGCTGATACTGAAGTATGCCCACAAATACAGAGTAGGACTTTGGAGGCCACGATCTGACATGGTGAAAGTTTAGGTCCTCTCTAATTAGCAGTGTTCCTAATTGATGCTGAAAAATTCAAGGTTGCTTTTCATCTGTCTGAATCAAAATTGTACCTGGTTGTCGACGAGAGTTGGCACTTGACATTATTGCCATTAATCTCGACCTTTGTTCCGAATTATTTGGATTGGGTTTTTGCTTTCAATAGAAAATTTTGATGATTGATGATTATCAGTGTTTTTGAAATAATGCTAAACATTCCCTACCGTTGTGCACTGTGGTGAATTATACTCCGTACTATGTTTATCGGAATAAGTATACCAAGATATTAGTTCTAGCTGTTTTTTTTTTTTTTTTTTGCAGTTTATGTGAACTTCTGCTTCTTTTTTGTTTTTTTCCTTTTACTTGAAAAGGAAAATTATTTATAATAAGTCATACAACATTCACAATGATCTTTATTGAGATTGGTAAATCTCAAATTTGGAGTATCAGCAAAATTTCATGATCAAATTAAAAACTTTCAGATTTCGTATTACTTTGCATAATTTGTAATGTGTTTGCATCTGATTTCATATTTCTCCGTAGAATTATTGAGATTTAAAAATTTGATTGAAAATCATACATCCTCTAACAACATACGAGTAAAAAAGAGGGGGGGGGAAATCCTTGTAAAAGGAGGAAGCAATCTACTCTTTTTGTGGGGACTTGTTATTTATCGCCCACGTTTTTCTACTTAAAGCTCACATTTTGTAAAATTTTGACTATTTTGTCCTTCTTTTAATTTTTACCGAAAACGAAATTTTCACTCACCAAAAATGTGGAGCAGCACTGGATCGCCAAGGGACACCGAAGAGCTGTCATCGTCGGCGAGATGCATCGGAGAGCCGCCATTATCGCCGGAAAACGAAGTACGTAGCTGTTTTAAAATACGAAGTGGCGGCTGGCTTTCCTGGCCAGGCGCCACAACCACATATATATTACTTTTAATTTAAAGTTTTGTTTTTGTTTTTGATTTTTGTGTTTTTTTTTTTTTTTTTTTTTTTGTTTTTTAATTTTGATAAATTTGAAATTAAATGTGGTTAATAATTTATTTTAAAAAAAAAACAAAATTTAATTTGAAATTATGTTTGAAATATGTGTGAATAATTTATAAAAAAAACAAAAATATGGTTTAGTTTGACATTTTGTTTTAATATGTGTTAATTATTTCCAAAAATAAACAAATTTATGTTTTAATTTTAATGTGTGTGAATACTTTTTGTTTATCTTTTTCATTTTTTTGTTTGTTGTTTATATTTTATTGTTGTTGGTTATATTTTTTGTTTTTGGTATATTGTTTTGTTTATATTTATATTTTTTTTTCAAATTTGTTAATTTTTTTTTATGTTTATATTTTTTTCCCATTATTAGTATATTTATTTATATTGTATTTACTTTTTGAAGTTTATATTGTACGTTTTAATAAACAAATGTATGTTTTAATTTGTATGTGTGTGAATACTTTTATATATAATTACGTGTTAGTTTTGTGTTAATTATGTGTAAATTTAGACGTTAAATGTATTATGCGTTAAATATGGAAATGATATTTAGAAATTTAAAGTTCAGAAATTACTTTTGTGTTAATTTTGCGTCAAATGTATTAATTTAATTTAATCCTTATGTGATTATATTTATATGTTATTATTGCAGGATTATGGTGGAGACGGAAATGATTATAGTGGGATTTTTGTACATGATGGTCTGTTCGAAGATGCTCAATAAGCGATTGATTGGGCGAAACAAGTTGCAATTAGATCAGGTTTTTGTTTAGTAGCAAGTCATAAATCTCAACGGGATGGTAGAATGGATCGCATTTTGAGATGCGACCGTTATCACAAAAGGGAGGAACGAGATTTCAGTCAAGCGATTCGGTTTGATACAAAGCGGAAAGGTTGTGGGTGTCAGTTCAGAGTAAAGGTTCGACAACAACAAAGGCGTAACGGTTGGGAAGTGAAGGGTTACGGTAATAGGGGTATCACAACCATGAGATGATAGTATATGAAGTGGGTCATCGACAGTTAAGCGGCCTAAGCCCTGCTGCGAAACTAGTTGTAAAATAAATGAGTGATGCTCAAGTGAAGCCTGCTAAAATATTAGCATATGTGTTATTTAAATTTCCTGAAGACCAGCCAAACCGAAGACACATCTACAACGTCAGACAGAAATTGAGGTTTGAATGGTCAGAGGGAAGGAACCTTATACAGCAGATTCTACACCAGGCACAAGCACGTGGTTACCTGTACTGGTTTCAATCTGATGAAGACACGTCGAAGGTTACTCATTTGTTCCTTGTGCATCCTGATTGTGCTGATATGATTTCGTCTTGGCCATCTATGATTTTGATCGATTCAACGTACAAGACAAACAAGTACAAGTTCCCACTGGTTGAGATGGTTGGGATGGCTCCAACGAACCAGAACTTTCTGATTGGTTATGAAGTCATGACGGATGAGACGGCTGCGAGTTACCGTTGGGTGTTAGAGAAGTTGAGAAATTACATCGACCAAATGTTCAGCCATCGGCCATCGTCAGTGATTGTGAGGGATGTCTCTTTGCCCCTATAGCGGAGCTGTTTTCGAAGTCGGGCCATTTACTGTGCGCATGGCACATCGACAACTGTGTGAAAGTCAAAGCCTACAACCTTTTCAACAAAAACTTAGATTCAGCAGAGAGATTGGTAAATGGTAAGTAGTGGAAGATCCTGCAAGCTACCACGGAGGCAGAATACGATCGAGCCTTGGATAACTTCAAGGATACGTACCAATGGTGCCCGGCAATCGTAAACTTTGTGATGCAGCAGTGGGTACCTCAGATGGAAAAGTTTGTCAAATATTGGACAAACTAAGTTCTTCATTTTGGAAACACTACAACATGTAGAGTTGAGAGCGCTCATAGAGCTTTGAAGGACTGGATTGATTCTTCCACCTCTGCTCTGGATACACTGTTCGAGAGAATAAACAAGGCTATTGATACTCAGAAGAATGGCATCAAGAACTCTCTCGAGGACTTTAAACTGCGACATGGCATGCTGTATAACCATTTCATATTTAAGATTCTCCATGGTCGTGTGTCACACTACTGCTTGGGGTTGATTCTGAGCGAGCACAACAAGATGAGGGAGTTGGGTGATGAAGTGGCTATTCGGTGCGGATGTGCTATATCAATGACTCATAGACTACCTTGTGCATGCACCATTCACCGCGTAATTACGCAAGATAGGGCGTCATTACATGTTGATCAGGTTCGTCCATTCTGGTGGACGCTCGTTATCGATGAGCATGCTGTTCCACAGAAGGTCCACCGTGAACAGTTTCGTTCAATGTTTGACCAAGTGTCCTCCAGCCACCCTTCAATCATTCGTAGTGCTACCCATGTACTCCACGACATGTTCAACACGTCGTGCTTGGATCACGAGGAACCTGAAGGGGTCGATAACCACGGCGGAACAGGAGTGCGTTTGAGTACATTCGTGGTCGTGGTTGTGGCCGTGGTCGTACATCGTCATCAAGTGGTAGCCAATATTCTTCGTCGGTGAATATGCCCGGCACCGGTACGGTCCTTTACTTTAATTTACTTTTTAGAGTGTTTGTTTATTTTATTGCTGACTTGTTAATTTTGTTTATTGATGTGTGCAACAGGTAGAATGAACATTGAATATTTTCCATATAAGGACAGGACCCCTAACATCATGATGTCATTCTTGGACGGGTGAAATGATGTGGTTGCAGATGGTAACTGCGGATTTTAGGTTGTGGCTGATGTGTTTCAGATGGGTGAAGACAACTACGGTTTAGTGCGTCAGTTGATGTACAGTGAAATCGCCTCAAACCGAGGTGTTTATCGCCATGTGTACGGCCAGGACTTGGATAGGTCTCTGCAGCATATTCGGTGGGAAGGAGGACCTTGCGGTCAAAATCATTGGTTCGACGCACCACTTGATCTCTTTGCCGTTGCAAACATCTACAAGTGTGCAGTCATGCATTTCGGGCTTGGTTTGCATAGTCGAGCTTATTATCCATGTACCACGGTTTTGTCTTGGTGTTCGCGTGAGACCGTCACCAGACCAGTAAGAGAGGTTGCTATTGTATTTCTAGGGCCGTCATACAGACATTTCATCTGATTGGATCTGTCACCCGATTTTCCGGTCCCACCGATCATGTCCAAGTGGTACACCATTCGTACAACATGCGTAGAGGGTTGGGATGCGCTGTATCATGACCGGGTGCAACAGTGGAACAATCTAGTTGCCATTTAGTTTTTCCCGTTTACACCAACCTTTTCTATGTGACCTTGTATTGTTATTGCTATTTTTTTTCCCATTTATTTAATTTCCGTATTCTAATTTATTATCTTGCATGCACACTAATCAAAACTTAAAATAATAATTATAAAAACTAAAAATATAATGTCAAATTCTAAAAACTTAAAATAAGAATTTCAAATTTTACAAACTAAAAAGATAATGTCAACTTTTACAAACAACTATGATAATGTACAAAATGTTATATAAATGCACTGCCGACAGATCAGTAATCCCTCTATGACACCCACTGCCACTGCTCAATGGCCCGTTCCAGATCATCAATTGCCGCTCTGCCTGATGCATCCGTCATGCTGTCTCTCTTTTCAAAAATTCATAGTGCCACCTGCGTCATCTTTCCCATCCACTACACATAACAAAACACATAAAATTCAATAACGACGTATTATATGAAAAAAAAACACAACAAATGTTTTATGAGACGTACCGCATCCACGGCAGTGGCCGGTGACACATCATCATCATCGACGTCGTCGCCGTGGTGGAGGTCTATGATCAACCTCGGGTACGAGTGCCGGTTGTACCACTCCATGTAGTGCTGGTCACATATGGCAGTCACCCAAGTAAGCGGCCGCTGCAGCTGCTCAATCCATATGCGGCCAACCATCGGAAACTGCTCCCATGTGGCAATCATGCTTGCTGGCCATTGGACGACGTACTCCTTCGACGACGCAGATCGGACCGCCTTACTAGGCCATGCTGGTGGAGGAGGAACAACTTGGACAAATCCAAGCTGGCGAAGACAACGCTGCGGCATGTACGCCTCTACGATCTCACGATACTGAATCAATCTCGTGTAGAAGGTCCTGGGTACCCTATTACTAGGGTTCTGGTCGAAAGGCATTCAGTTCACCTGCACATTTTTTAAAATTAGTAAGATTCATACAATAAACACATCAAACTATAAAAGTAGAAATAATTTAAACACTTTACCTCTAATGGGGATATCCTGTCAAGCGATAACCGTATCGATCGCAGGCGGTCAATGGACTTCTTCTCGACACGCGGACTCCACACACAGGCACGTGGCTGGCCATCCCCAATAGGAACCGGGTCGCGGTGTGGTCGAAACGCAGGAAAATACTCGTATATCCAGGTTTGTAACAACGTCAGACATCTAGTGATACCTGCCGCATCAGCCCGACTCGAGAATCCTAACTGGCGATACATATACGCCAACGTAGCTGACCCCCAAGAAAATTGGCCTACTCTGTCGGGCTCACACGCGTCAACTATGTCGCGTGGCCTGAGCTCGTTTCCGCTCTTATCCAGAAACAAGGTACACCCGAGAAGAAGAAAAACAAATGCAGCCAGCTGTGTATCCTGCGTCCTACATGCAGTGGGGTGCAAACATTGCTGCAAAACGGCTGCGATCTTAACACCGCCGTGATCCCACACACCAAGTGTCGCTGTGTACAGTGCAACCCTATCCACCGCCAACAGCTCCGCTAGTAAATCTGCCTGATCCGCATCAGTGACAACAGATGCTCGGTTTCCCTCTACGGGAATTTTAAGGATGGCCTTGACGTCATGCAACATGATCGTCATCTCATCGAACGGAAGGTGGAAAGAGTTCGTATCCGGCTGCCATCGCTCAACGAAAGCCGTGATCAGCGTCGAGTCAATCCTTTCGTGCATGGTGGCAGGATGGTGACTCAATCTAGTGCCCCTCAATCGGCAGACCATCTCGCTCTCCTCCGGCCAAGCATCAGCCCAACTACACAAAAAGTTACAAGTCTTTTCCCGGGTTTGGCATTTCAAAATGCCTGTATCCAAAGCCCTCTCCTGGTCCTCCCAGATACGGGTAGCGATGTGTCTTAGAAAGCAAGGAATCACACTCCCGTCTACAGGTCCCCCATCCACCTCACCCCTTACCACCCAAGATTCATTAATGGCCCTCGACCGTTTTCTGCTTACTGCAGACACAGTGGACGCAGAAGATGTGCCAGCACTACAAGAATGAAGTAAATTTCCGACGGAAAATACGTTCGTCGGAAAAAGGCATATTTTCCGAGGAAAAAGGGTCCGTCGGAAAACTGGAGGATTTCCGACGGATATCTGCAATTTCCGACGGAAATATCCGCTGGAAAATTTCTGAGGGATTGAATCCGTCGGAGACAGCCATTTCCGACGGAAATATCTGGCGGAAAATGGTTGAACCTTGGATACCATTTAAATCCGTCGGAAAATGGTTCTGTGCATAGGATGCCATTTTTCCGACGGATTTCCGACAGAAAATTCCGTCGGAAGGTTTTCGGATCTAAAATCCGAACTGCATAGGTAACTTTATTTCGTTTTCGATTTTCCCGGTTTTTTCTTCATTCCTCCATTGTTCTTCACGTTTCTTCATTCCTCCATTGTTCTTCACGCTCCATTCTTCTTCACGGTTCCACGCCACCTTCAACCCACAACCAAAAAACTCGAAATCAAACACCCGACATCAATAATCCGGTTAGTTTTTTTAATGTTAATGTTTATGTTTATTTTAATTTATCAGTTTAATTTTTAATATGTAATGTTAATGTTAATGTTAATGTAATGTTTATGTTAGTTTATTAGTTTAATTTTTAATATAATGTAGGTTGATTATTGATATGTTAATTATGTTTTTATGTTAGTTTAATTAGTTTAATTTTTAATATAATGTATGTTGGTTATTGATATTTTAATTATGTTTTTATGTTAGTTTAATTAGCTTAGTTTATTAGTATAATGTATATGTTAGTTTTGTTTAGGTTAGTTTAGTTTAATTTAGTATAATGTATATGTTAGTTTAGTATAATGTATATTAGTTAAGTATAATGTATGTTAGTTTAGTTTAGTTTAGTTATATTAGTATAATGTATGTTATTAGTTTAGTTTATATTAGTATAATGTATGTTATTAGTTTAGTATAATGTACGTTAGTTTAGTTTAATTTAGTTTAGTATAATGTATGTTAGTTTAGTTTGGTATAATGTATGTATGTTAGTTTAGTTTAGTATAGTTTAGCTTAGTATAATATATGTTAGTTTAGTTTGGTATAATGTATGTATGTTAGTTTAGTTTCGTTTAGTTTAGTTTAGTATAATGTATGTTAGTTTAGTTTAGTTTAGTTTAGTATAATGTATGTATGTTAGTTTAGTTTAGTATAATGTATATATGTTAGTTTAGTATTTCAATCTTCTAAAAATGTTTGAAATGAATAATTTTCATAATCATACGCTTAGATATATACCCGTTGAAATTAGAATCATGAAACGAAGAGAGCGGAGCTGGATGTATGATAGATTGGATGGGCGTTCTATTAAGCCTGAGTTCTTGAAAAGGGTAGAGGAATTCATACAGTTTTGCGAAGATCATCGTGAGACTGCAAAGAATGATTATAGGTGTCCTTGTGTTAAATGCAATAACAAACAATTTTAGGATCCGGACACAATAAGAATTCATTTGTACAACAAGGGATTCACTCCTCGTTATTGGGAGTGGTTGTGTCAAGGGGAAGGGTTACCTAAATCCTCAGTAGAAGGCCAATCAAATGAATATCGTGATATGGTTATGGATGTTGTTAGTCATAATTATGATCGATCAGGTACTGAAGCTGTAGAGGAGGAGCCTAACGTTGAAGCAAAGCATTTTCTTGATTTGTTGAAGGCGTCTGAACATCCATTGTATGAAGGGAGTTCGATGTCGGTTTTGGAGGTGGCGGCAAGAATTACTAGCTTAAAGTGTGAGTACAATTTGCCGCACAGGTGTGTTGATGGGTTCGTTTCATTGTTGACAGAAGCGATCCCTGGCAACAGCCGTTTGGGTGAGACATTCTACAATGATAAGAAGGTTGTTAAGGGGTTGGAGCTGCCGCATGAAAAGATTCATGCATGCCCCAAGGGATGTACGTTTTTTTGGAAAGAGGATGCTGAGCTTCCTACATGTAGAGTGTGTGGCAGTGATCGATACAAAAGAACTTCTAAAGGCAGCTTGGTTCCAAAGAATGCGCTATTTTATTTCCCGATCACACCTAGGTTGCAAAGGATGTTTGCAACGAAGAACATTTCAGAGGAAATGAGTTAGCATGCAAATAATCCTCGTGTCAAAGGCACGATGACACACCCTAGTGACACTGAAGCTTGGAGACAGCTTGATACCTGCTTCCCAGAGTTTGCCTCGGATCCACAGAATGTTCGACTAGGGCTGTGTACAGATGGTTTTGCTCCTCATGGTAAGTTCGGGGGTCAGTACTCCTGTTGGCCCATGATTTTGACCCCATACAATTTGCCTCCCTCAATGTGTATGAAAAGGCAGTTCATGTTCTTGTCACTGATAGTCCCTGGTCCCAAAAACCCGAAGGGCATTTTAGATGTGTACATGCAACAACTGATACAAGAGCTGAAACAGTTGTGGGAAGTTGGCGCAAGTACTTATGATATATCAAAGAAACAAAATTTCAACCTTAGAGCAGCCATCCTATGGACCATTAGTGACTTCCCTGCATATGGTATGTTGTCTGGATGGTCCACGACTGGTAAGAAGGCTTGCCCGTATTGCATGGAAAAAAGCAAGGCATTTTGGTTGCAACATGGCGGAAAAGTTTCGTGGTTTGATTGTCATCGTTAATTTCTTCCTGCAGATCATCCTTTCCGAAAAAGTAAAACAGCATTTTGCAGAAACAGAGTTGAAAAAGGCTCACCGCCGCACATCATGTCAGGGGCGAAACTTTGGGAATGTGTGAAAGACCTTCCGAGGGCCACCGATGGGCCCGAATCACTGCAAGAGTTGAAAAGGGAAAAGAAAGGGTGGTTCAAGCAAAGTTGCCTGTGGGAGCTTCCGTATTGGAAGCATTTGCTGATTCGTAACAACTTAGATGTCATGCACATTGAAAAAAACTTCTTTGATCAAACATTTCACACTGTAATGGATGTGAGAAGACAAACTTCTGACACACCTTCGGCCAGAAATGACATTGCCAAATATTATAGGCGACCTCAACTTCATCTACAGGCTGATGACAGAGGGAATGAGGTCATGTCAAAGGCCCTATTCTGCCTCGATAAGGGTCAGAGGAAGGTTTTGTGTGAGTGGGTTCGTGACCTGCGATTCCCTGACAGTTACGCCTCCAATTTGAGCAGATGTGTGGATCTGCAGGTGTGTAGAATACACGGAATGAAAAGTCATGATTGTCACGTGTTCATGGAGAGGTTATTACCTGTCGCATTGAGAGAATTTCTCCCTGTTCATGTCTGGAATGCAATTACAGAGATCGGTCAATTCTGTAGAGACTTGTGTTGCTACACAATCACAGTCAGTGATATGATGGAACGGTTGGAAAAGAACATTGCCGAGATCCTTTGCAAACTGGAGAAGATTTTTCCACCTGCATTCTTCAACTCCATGGAGCATTTACCCATTCACTTACCGTACGAGTCAAAGTTAGCTGGACCTATGCTGTATCGATGGATGTATCCATTCGAGAGGTAGTGAACCCTTGATTTAGTTGTTGAGCAGTCACAAATTCACCGTTTAAAATCATAATATACTTTAATTTCAGGTTCCTGAACCATATAAAACGGAAAATTGGCAATAAGGCTCATGTTGAAGGTTCGATATGCAGCGCTTACCTTACTGAGGAGATATCAAATTTCTGCTCAAATTACTTCCAGCCGTCAGTTGACACAAAAACACGAGATCTGGGTCGGAATGTGAATGCTGATGTTGACACCTCCCTCGACACCAATGACATCCTAGAACTGTTTACGGAGGACACCGGTCGTGTGTCAACTGAGGGAAAATTGAGGTGGTTAGATGAAAAGGAATTTCAACGTGCACACTTATTTGTTTTATCAAACAGTGGCATATTAGGTGAATATGAAAGGTAATCCACAGTAACTAAATTGTTTCCATCATATGATCACGTGTACTGAGTTTCACGGTCATTAACAAGTTCTTGTTGTCGTAGCAGGAAGTTTGAGGACCATATTCTTAGCACCCGTCCTACATTGCGTAGAGAAGCTGTATGGGAGACATTCGAAACACAGTTCCCTAATTGGTTTAGGGACAAGGTCAGACCACTCTCAAATATAGGGATAATTATTGACTTCTGTATGTACAATCCAGCTCAATTTTAATAATCCAAATATGACGTATTTTAATTTTATCTAACACTAATAGGTAACTGAAGAGAAACCAAGATCTGATGTGTTGCAAGCTTTGGCTGTGGGTCCGTTCAAGAAATTTCGCACTTGGAGCCGAATATTTGTTAGCGGTTTAAACTTCCATACGCAAGACTACGGCAGACATAAGGGCACGATCAATTACGGTGTGTGTGTGTCCAGTCAAGATGGAGGAGAGTATTTTGGCATGTTGCAAGACATTATTGAAGTTGTCTACACTGGTGCGATCCCTGAATACATGACCATCTTGTTTAAGTGTAGTAGGATGGATTGTGGTAGGGGTATAAACATACATGAACAATACAAGGTTGTTGACGTGAATTATACTAAGAAATACCCCATATATGACCCATTCGTGCTGTCTTATCAAGTTGGTCAGGTATATTATGCACCATATCCGAGCCTCAAACGAGATCGGTTTCAATGGTGGGCTGTGTTTAAAACGCAGGCAAGGTCCGTTGTGGATGCTCCTGTTGACCCGGAGTTCTTGCAAGGAGCACAAACACGGGAATGCAGTACACTCTGCCCACCAACTGATATCCCAGACTACAGTGACGATGGTCGTGCATTTGTTGTCTCCGAGGGTGAGGACGATGATATTGTGTCTGCTTCTGAAGACGAATCAAGCGTCGGTTCAAGTGACAACGAAGAGGGCAGTGACAAGGATGAGGACGACATTGTTGTTTTTTATGATAGTACTGATGATAACAGTAGCGATCATTGTAGCAGTAGTGATAGTAATGAGTAGCTTTAGTGATTGTAATGAAAAGTATTATTGATTATAATAAATGATTGTAATGAATAGCTGTATTGATTGATATGAGGAATGTAACTGTTAACCTATTTATGTCTGTATGTTATGCACTTGAACTGTTTTGTAGGGAAGCATGGCCGGAGGAAGAAAGGGAGATAGCTCGGGGAGGAAGACGCGAAGATCTCAACCTTACCCCTCGTACCATGTGTCAGACAGTCAGCAGGCCCCCGAGACCGCTGAGGATAACTCTGAGACTGTTCAGGGTCTGGGTGACACTTAGGTACCAGATTCGCTTACTCAACATGAGGATCTGTCACAGCCCTAGAGCTCAGAGCAGTCAGAGCACGCACGAGGGGATCTAGTGCCACGCCTAGACCCGACCACGCTGTGGTAAGAATATTAGATCATATGTTATATGCATTTCATGATTCATATTTCTAATTATCAAAAGCTACTGACGTCCTTTTTGTTGTTCTGAAACAGGTTTGATGACCAAATAGTGAAGAAAGCCGTCTCCGGTTCGATCCAGGGGCACTATACGGCGCCTTGGAGGAACTATGGAGAGGTTGACGATGCCACGAAAAGTCATTGGTGGAACTTGTTCAGGGTATGTACCAATTCAATTGTGTATTATTTTATTTGAAAAATATTTTGTTGTTACGTTTTATGAGTTTTGATTTTGCAACAACATTTTACGTGGTCACCGGAGCTGGACAGTCATGTATGATCGGCATTTAAAGCTCGGGCCGGTACCCGCCTTCGTGACATGTTTTACACTGTCACGAAGAAGATGAAAGGTGTGAGATCGTATTGGGTGTTAGAGGAAGTGCACAAGAAGATGATGAAGATTCCTGATTCTGATGGCACGTACAAGAAGCGGTCCACACAGAACAAGCTGAACCGAAGAGGTGGTTCCATGGAGAATGAAGTGGAGGCAACCCACTTCCAAGGTTCCGTATCATCCGTACAGCATGCAAAACGGATGGTCAGTATATGAGAATTGTTGTTTTAGGTTTTGCAGTAATTAAGTTTACATTTAATGTGATTTATTTGTGTTTATGTGCAAAGGCGGCGGAAAACCAAGGGAAACTGCCATCCACTGCTGATCTGTTCCTGAAAACGCACTTCAAGGATGTGCCCGGAAAAGGAAAGGTTCCGGCAAACAAAAAGTCCAAGGAGATTGCAGTAATAAATTCATTAATTTAATTTCGCTAAAATTTAAATTCAGTAACTAGGCTATGTTGGTAAAATCACGAATATCGTCCCAAAACTTAGTGAAATGCTTCTTATAGGTTCGTTTTCAATGCATGAACACTTTTAACTAGGCTATATTGGTATGTTAGTGCAATTTATAGGCTAGTTTGATAAGAAATGTGAAAAATAGGCGAGGTATAACCCTTTTTGGCCCATTTTTCCTTGAAAATCACGAATATCGTCCCAAAACTTAGTAAAATACTTCAAAGGTTCGTTTTCAATGCATGAACACTTGTAACTAGGCTATATTGGTATGTTAGTGCAAGTTATAGGTTAGTTGATAAGAAATGTGAAAAATAGGTGAGGTAGAACCCTTTTTGGCCCCTTTTCCCTTGAAAATCACGAATATCGTCCCAAAACTTAGTAAAATGCTTCTAAGGTCCGTTTTCAATGCATGAACAATTGTAACTAGGCTATATTGGTATGTTAGTGCAAGTTATAGGTTAGTTTGATAAGAAATGTGAAAAATAAGCAAGGTAGAACCCTTTTTGGCCCTTTTTCGATCCCTTGAAAATCACGAATATCGTCCCAAAACTTAGTGAAATGTTTTAAGGTTCGTTTTCAATGCATGAACACTTGTAACTAGGCTATATTGGTATGTTAGTGCAAGTTATAGGTTAGTTTGATAAGAAATGTGAACAATAGGCAAGGTAGAACCCTTTATTTTGGCCTCTTTTCTCTTGAAACATCATTATTTCTTAATATATCTCGTCAATCACGAATATCGTCCCAAAACTTAGTGAAATGCTTCAATGGTTCTTTTTCAATGCATGAACACTTGTAACTAGGCTATATTGGTATGTTAGTGCAAGTTATAGGTTAGTTTGATAAGAAATGTGAAAAATAGGCAAGGTAGAACCCTTTTTGGCCCCTTTTCCCTTAAAAATCACGAATATCGTCCCAAAACTTAGTAAAATGCTTCTAAGGTCCGTTTTCAATGCATGAACAATTGTAACTAGGCTATATTGGTATGTTAGTGCAAGTTATAGGTTAGTTTGATAAGAAATGTGAAAAATAAGCAAGGTAGAACCCTTTTTGGCCCTTTTTCGATCCCTTGAAAATCACGAATATCGTCCCAAAACTTAGTGAAATGTTCTAAGGTTCGTTTTCAATGCATGAACACTTGTAAATAGGCTATATTGGTATGTTAGTGCAAGTTATAGGTTAGTTTGATAAGAAATGTGAACAATAGGCAAGGTAGAACCCTTTATTTTGGCCTCTTTTCTCTTGAAACATCATTATTTCTTAATATATCTCGTCAATTTTCTGCAGGAAACATATCATAAAATGGTTGAGGAAGAAAGCAGTCATAAGTCTTCCAAAAGCCAGGATGAACTGTACTGGGATGCAGTAGGCGGGCGTAACAAGAAAGGCCGAGTAAAGGGGCTTGGTCGAGGTGCTGAGTTGTACTATCAATCCCAGTCCCGAGGATCTGGGTCCTCTCAGCAGTACCACCCGCCGTCGTCTGTTGTGGCTGAGATCGAGGCTCGGGTGCAAGCTCAAATGCAGGCCCAGGTACAGGCTCAAGTGCAGGCTCAAGTGTAGGCTCAGATGGCGGAACTTGAGCGGAGGAACAAAGAGATGATGGACGAGATGTTGAGTCGCATGACCGGACTCAACACTCCATTCACATGTTCCACGGACGATGCCGCTGCAGCCGCGAGACCCTTGGGACGACGACCCCGGTTGTGGGGGAGGCTCGGCTTCTTTTCCCGTCTTGTAGCTTTTTGTTTTCTTTTCACGTATTGTACATAAATTGAGATACAATGTAGGTTATTTATCCAAACTGAATGTAATAATTATAACTATTAATTTATATTGATTGATTTATTTTCAAATGAAATTTTATTATGTTTTAAACAGATTGCAGTAGAGAAGAACAGGTCAATATACAGGGGGAAGTGGAAGCAAAAAATAAAAAAAAAATAAAAAAATTTCCGACGGAAATAATCCGTCGGAACAGGGGGGATTTCCGACGGAATTATTTTCCGTCGGAAATCACCGATGGCTTCTGACTGTCGGTGATTTCCGACGGAAAATATATCCGTCGGAAAATTCCCCCTTTTCCGACGGATTATTTCCGTCGGAAAATGCCTTATTTCCGACGGATTATCCAGTCCGTCGGACATTTCCGACGGACATTTCCATCCCCCAGTCACCAAGCTCCGACGCCTCTTTTTCGTCGGAAATTCCATCGGAATCGACATTTCAGTCGGAAACGACCTTTCTTCCGACGAAGGGTTTTCCGACAGACATTTTCCGGCGGAATTCCGTCGAAAATGACAATTTCCGACGAATAATTTCCGTCGAAAATAAGCTTAATTCTTGTGCGCAGATCTACTAACAAATCTACCATCTCTACCCTTACGCACATCTACCCTACGCGTCTCATACATCTCATCAAGCCTTTGACTGAATGGACCGTAATCATCATATGGTCCACTCTGATCGTCGACATCCTCATCTGCATCCTCCTCCTCCTCCTCATCACCATCATCATCTTCATCATCCTCAGAATAGTGCACCCGTTCTCTACGAGCCGAGGCCGAAATATCACGGGATCTAACGTGTCTGGGCCTCGAGCTCTCCATTGAATAGATCGTACTTCTCATAATGGCCACGATGGCGGCGTCCACGTTGGACGTCGCTACCGTGGTGGTGTCGTCTTGGCCAGGCGCCGCCACGGTGGCTGTGGCGTCTAGGCCAGGCGCCGCCACGGTGGCTGTGGCGTCCAGCCCAGCCGCCGCTACCTCTGTCAGTTTTTTTTTTTAATTTAAATCTAGCTTTCCACTGCGAAACCGCCTTCCTCCGGCCACCGGTGCCGCCACTTCCTTGCCTTGCCGCCTCGACATTTTAGAAATTTTTTTTAGAAAGAGAAAATGACAGTAGAGAATAGAGAGAAGATGAGAGTATGTTTTTTACTTTGAGGACAAAAGTGTCATTTTACTCTAAATTTGTGGGCTTTATGTAGAGATTTGCGGGCGATGTTTAGCAGTTCAATTTTTTACCATTAATTATACAAAGTAAAGGAAAAATGATATGGAGTAGTTTTAAGAAAATGTTATCATAAAATAAAATAGCATTTTAAGAACATACATTGATATAAATCTAAAGATATCTTGATTATACGAAATAGTTTGTACTTTGTATGTACTATACTCCATATTAGACCTGGCAATCTTGACCCAGACCCGATGACCCGACCCGAATGACCCGACCCATGATCCGAAATTGACCCGAAAACAGTGACCCCAAACCCAAAATCAACCCGACCCGACCCATACCTGACCCGAAGTGGAATTGACTCGACCTTGACCCGAAACCCGAAATGACCCGACCCGAAATGACCCGACTCGAAGTTGACCCGAGACCCGAAGTGACCCGAGACCGAAGTTTTCCTGACCCGAAGTTGACCCAATACTCAAAGTGACCCGACCTTTAACTTGAATTAATTGACCCAAATAGACTCGAAACCCAAAGTGACCCGAACTAAAATTACTTTATACCTGAAATGACCAGAATATATTTAAGCTAACGATTTGACCTGAGCAAACTAAAATAGAAAATAACCGGAATCAAACTAACTTAATTTTTTTTTTATTAATTTGTAATGTGTAACAGTGTAAATATTTTACATATTTTGAGATTCTTGGAATACAAAATCTTCTAGGCCACTTGAGTAAAAAACGATTCCCGATCCGAAATTGACCCGACCCGAACTGACCCGACCCGAATTGACC